AAAGAAAAGCACTTCAGTAATCTCAACAGGACGCTCTTTATGGCGCAGTGCTGCGGGAATATTAATTCATGCAACCTAATAAGGCGAGTTGCGAAGGAACTCATGACTTCATCAAAACTTTTGGCACTTTTTACTACCCAAAGGATTTCCATTCTCATTTTGAGACGAATTTTGCAAAATCTGAATGTTTAATTTTTATTTTAATCCATAATTTTAAAAATATTTTTGATATCTAATTTGAATTTAACTTTATTCTGATTATTGATTAGCTAGAATTAATTTTATTTATAAAGTTCCCCTTGATCAGATATCAGATGATTTTTTTTATCCTAATTTTAATTTTTAAATTAGGTAGAAGTTCCAAAATTGGTCTGGTAAATTTGATTCAGTAATGAAAATGCTATAAATTTTGTTATATTTCTTATATTTTATAATTCTTAATTGTATTTCATTTCTTAAATATGATAGATTCTTTTAACATAAAAGCCTAAATGAGCTTGAAATCAATCAAAAGTTCACAATTTTTTCAAATACTTTCACATTAAATAACTTCACGTTTATAAGCAATTATTATTTCCTTTAAACCGAAAATAATATACAAATCAATACAAATAGAACTTTAAAAAATCGTCTTTGTCATTCAAGAAGATCGATAAAATCTCCTTCTTCAAAGCGCTCTTTGAAAGATTTCCAATTACTCTCCACACAAATTCTATTCCAAATATTAATTTTAACGACGTGTCTAAAGCAGCCCACTTGTGAAAAGTAAATATTTTTCAATGCACCCTCTTTCAAAGGAATTCCCTCTGATTCGAATTTTCTAAACAGGCGCAAGACCAAAAAGTATACACACGATTTTCTTTTGCTCCTCTCCGAAAATAGAATCTTTACTCTGGCAACACATATATAAAAGCGGTACCCACATAAAAGATAAGACTCGAAATCTCTCGGCAAAGTAGCGTTCACCTATTTTTTGATCATATTCAAACACGAGACTCAAAGTCGATTCATCAAAAGAGCGCTGCCGCGCGGCTGTTGTTGATGTTTAATAAAATGTCCCCTCGCCATGACGTCATATTATTTTGATGCCGCGCTCAACTAATGAATTGTTAATTGACTCACCCGGGCATGCATGCATTTATTCATGAAAGGGCCACCGTTCTTCATTCCCGTGCACGTCCGCCGCGGCTGGAAAATATTTTCAGACCACTTCAATGTCCTTTTTTACATTTAAATTTCAAGCCATGGAGGAGGATTCCTGAAAATTGGGTCGTCAACGGTTGGAAACTCGAAAAATTTCACACGTCAGCCCGCACTTTGAGAAGGGCTTAATTTTAGAACAGCGTGTGTGTGTGGAACAATGATCTGTGTTTATTTTTAGAAAAGTGTCACTCGCCGACAGCGGTGCAATAAAATAAGGCTTTTTTGTTTGCACAGACACACTGGATCAATAAAAAAGTTAAACACGAAACGTTAGTCCAAAATTCTATTATTTTAAGAAATAAATAATTAAAACGTTTTAATGTTCAGCTGAATTTTCAATTGTTTAAATTTTTTAACTAAAATATAATTTATTAATACTATAATAAAATTAAACTATTTTATTTTTGAGAATTTTATATTTTTTTTATATTTTACTCCAATTAATATTCACTTAAATTATTATTCTAATTAATATCGTTATTTATTAGTTAAATATTTTTAGTTTATTTAGTGTAATGGCTTGGTTTAAACCATGTGTATGATTTTGACAGATAATTCTTCTAGCAAAATATGCTGTATGTTATTTTATAATAATTGTGCAAACAAAAATTATTATATAAACCGTCATTAAATTTATAACTTTTGCACATTTTTATATTTTTTTCTGAAATTATTTCTCTTTCATACTTTTTTCAGATTAAATTAACTTGATTCGAAGCTAAATCTGAAATACAGCTGAAGACCTTTTTGGCTGCCTAGTGCATTTTCACCGGCTCGAATCGAATTCCGAGAATTCGCGGCACGTCCGAACGAAAATAACTCTGTCCGCGCTTAAAATTTTGCAATGTGGTTAATGCTTAATTCGATTAAGCGGCATTGCTGGTGGCCGCGACCATTAATTCATATTACTCACACTCCACACGCTGAAGCAATTAATTCTCTAATTAGCCGCATCTGTTGAGAGGCGAGAAGCGTCCGCCGAATGCAAACAGCAATTTCACCCGAGACTGATTTAATGCAAAAATTTGTAAATTACATTTCCACGTAATGGACTGTGATTAATTTTAATATGCACGCAAAATTAATTAATTTGCAACATCTTGGGCTGAGCTTAAAACAAATTTGTGATAAAATACGGAACCGTCGATTTATTTGCAGGGCGTGTCCGTTTTTCTCACACGCCGACTTGTGCGAAAGCCCTTTTTAATCCAGACTAATTATACTTCCTGCGAGACGCGGCCGTTAGTGGGAATTATTTTCAAGCAAACAAAGGAAATAAATTAGAGGGGAGCTTTTTAACTCGAATAATTCATTGATCCAATTTGTTGAGTGGGGATAAAAATTTCTCTTTTTATCGTTAAATTCGCGGCGGCGAGACACGGAAAATCAATTGCGGCCGCCTCTATGATACTTGATCCTCCTCCCACTTCTCATAATGCATTTTTATCGCGCCCAGAGAGAGCAAGCAGGGGTGGCCGCCCCCGACTGCTGCAAATTGAATCTCGCCCCTCGGCCAAGGACGATCCGAGGGCACCTTCCTTCTCCATGCAGACCTAAAGTCACTTTTATGGCGCACCCGAAACTAATAACCTCTGCTCGGGTGACGCTTTTTGTGGCAGATTACGAAAGTTGGCCCACCGGCTTATCAAAGCGCAGAAAGTTTATCTCGCGGATTTTTTTATTAAAACTTGCCGCCGGGATCAAAAGTTTTAGATTTCGCGCGAGATTAAGTGATTTGCATAATATGCCTTTATCAAACGGATGCCGCTATACTCTGATATTAAATTTTTATCTCCCGAATTTCGGATGATTTAATAGTTTCATAAGTCCGTGGTCCTTGTAGGACGGATCATCATAAACTTTTATTTTGATCAGCTTAGAACGGATCTCAAATTGAAGTTTTAAAATAAACATAATTCAAAAGCTTCTGAACTAATTTCAAATCTTTTAAGCAGAATTGCATATTTAGGACAGTGCAAAAGCCAGAAGCGGCTAAATAAGAAAGAATATATTTTTTTTAATGAAGCCCATCACTGAGCAATTATTTTATTGTTGAAATTACAAATAAATCCTTAGTTCCACAAGACTAAAAAATTCATGATCTCCTATTTTTTTAATGCTTAAGCTACATCTAAAAGCTGAAATGAAAGGGATGTCATTTTTATTTTAAATTACTTAGAAATAAAATAATCTATTTTTATTTAGTTTTTATATTTGTTACAGTAATTTACATCTGCGTTCCTGCATGTTAACAATTTCAAGAATTTCTTCAACAGCAATTTACATTTTTCCTCGCGTGCCTTTTCTTTTATTTTATTATTCGTTGGTGCTCGGCTGTGGTTATTTCTCCCTTTCTTCCACTCGAAACGCAGCGCACACCGAGAGTCAAGTGCTTAAAAGGCTGCGCACTTTATTTCTTCCGTCATGAACGTACAATTATGCGGGTCGGTAGCGCGAGTGCATGTGGCTGGAGCAAATATTCCTTCAAAAGCCTTTTCCAGCCTCGCCGCAACTTGATCCAGAAATACAATTTTACGCGATGAAAAGGAGTTGAATATAAACAACTTTTTTACGGTCTCCTTGGTTGCACTTTGGGGTCACAGTTATTAGAGTCAAGATCGGAAATCGCAAAGGCCAATATCGAACTCGCGGGAACTTATAATTAGAATGGAGAGAAATGGATCTTCCAATGATTCATAATTGCAGCTCTCTTGCGTGTGGTTATGGTCGCGGCGAACGTAGAAAAATGATCCATTGTTCTTGTAAATGATCTGGGTGTTTTCTTTTTACTGGGAACTTTCCAATATCCAGTTATTAACCATAATCATAGCTTGATTCGTTTACTGCATTTATTATTTTGTAACAAATCTTTCAGACATCATCAAATGTTAATTCTAAAATAAAATCAGAAGTGATCAGAAGCTTATTTATCTTACTGTTGTTCAACCAAATTAAATTTTTCATAAATAAAGGCATTAAAAGGCGTTACTAACTTAAATATTATTATTTATTCAATGTTATTAATATTTTCTTTGAATTATTTTTGTAAGACTTTATCAAAATTTGGAGTGAATTAAAAAAAAAAAAGCAAGGAGGCTTTTTTAACTGTTTTTGACCAGCCTATTTTTATCAAAATAACTTCTGTACCTGAATTATGTATGCTACTTTTTTCTCTCGAAATTTTAAGTAATTGAATTATGAATGAAAGGAAAGACGTGAGTTGCAGCAAACCCCCTTTAAAGGTCGGGCTCACCTCAGGGCCATTGTTACGCGCGTCTAGACGACAATTGTGGGTGGCTGATTTTAAAATTTCTCACGCGTCCCCTGCTCACCTTTTCCGTTTCCTTTCGCGACCTGTGGCGAGAAAGAGAGAACAGAGAAAGATAGTGCGCGGCGATAATGTGCTCCAGCGGAAGACGGGCATAAAGCAATTTGGCCCTCACATAACTCTTGCGATGGTAGAGAGCACGTGACGTCACTAATCAATACTCTCCAGCCCTCGTCTCGTGCATTCACTTGCACGAGCATTAAATCCTCTCAAATATATATACACATGCCCGTCCTTGCCAGGACGCTGATCCTGCGGATTTTGCCGACGACTTGGCGTTTTATTGACGCCCCAAGTCGCGACTTTTTTGCTACAAGTTCAACTCCCTTATGTCACATATGTACACAAAGTTCGCGATCAGCATTTTATATTTATTGCACAAGCTGCAAACGGAGATTGATGATTTTCGCATTGATTTCGCGTTTATTTCTGAAGCTTTTCGGCTAATTCGCGAATCGATTTGTTGCAGTGGGCCAATGGCCGCCCCCGGAGGAGTAAGGGGCGCCGCTCCCCTCAGCTGCTGGGCGACTCTTTGATCACTCCGCCTGCCAAAGACGATGAAATGGAGCACCTCAAGCATAACTCGCAGGTAAGTGACCACGGCTGTGAATAATTTCAATCATTAGTAAAATGCCTTGACTAATTGTCATTCCGTATTGATCAACAGGCTGTTAAGGCCGAACAGGATGGGCTCATGAATGGCCACCTGACCGTAAACGGAGCACAATCCCACCAGTCTTCCTCTAGCTTAGAAGACGATACTCCAGGTAATTAATTATGTACTTCAATTAAATTGAAAATCGTTAACAAAAGAAATAATTATAATAAAAATATATATTTAATTTAGACATAAAATTAATTTTTTTTTTTTATTATCAATATTTGCTTCAGATTTACCCTCTGGAGACGCTACAAGCATGTCCTCCATGTACCATGGTGCTTGGCCTGTGGACCGCAGCCTCTGGCACAGCGGCCCCTCCAGTCTGGGGGGCGTCCCTGCAGATGCGGCCAGCGTCATGAGCTTCACCTCCAGCGTTGGCTCGCCGGCCTCATCGGAGCCAGGAGCCTCCGTAGGTGCCAGAAGGTCCTACAGTCAACAAACCCTCGGACCGAAGGTGATTTTTAATTTCCCTGCTTGGCCCTTGAACCTATTTGAAAACTTTTGGGCTTCCTCTCATCTAAAATTACGTTTTGGGCCTATTCAAGGAGAGAATAGCTCTCTTATGTCGCAAAAGAAAAACTTTGAAGCCATTCGAAGCTCAAGGTGCAGCCGTAAAAGTGCCACTTGAGTATGTGTGTGTTTATTTCCTATTAATGAGGTCACTAGTGTGGATTGTATTTCCCTTCAGGAATATATTGGGACATGTGATACACTAAGAAAGCTCAGCAAAGCATTTTTTTCTTTCCAATGTGAACACAAGCTAGTGGCAAAGCGTCACCACCGCTCGAGCTTCAAGCTCTCTTGCCAGATCGAAATTCAAATCTATCTAACCATGCTGATTTTCTCGGATTCCAGGTTGAAATGGTTTATGGACTTTTATCGATGCTCGGAACGCACAACAAAGACGAGATGAGCCGGACTTTGTTGGCGATGAGCTCATCTGCCGACAGCTGCATCGCCATGAGGCAGTCTGGCTGTCTACCTTTGTTGGTGCAACTCTTGCATGGGGATGAGAATCCCCAAACGAGGAAGGTTGCTGCCAAGGCCCTTCACAATCTGGTTCACTCCCACCCAGACGACAAACGAGGCCGCAGGGAAGCTAGGGTGCTGAGACTCTTGGAGCAGGTAAAATTATTTACCACTCAATAAATTTAAATTTATTAAAAAATAAATTCAAGGTTCGCGATTATTGCGATTTGCTGCCAACACAAGAGGTTTTAGACATGATGGGTGATGAAGAGGACGACCCTAAAAAACACCCTGGACCTACTGTGGCTAACTTAATGAAGCTGTCCTTTGACGAAGAGCACAGACACGCAATGTGTCAGTTAGGCGGGCTGCATGCTTTGGCTCAGCTGATTCAAGCAGACCACGAAGCCCACGGATCTGAAAGCAACGACCAGTACTGCATTACCTTGAGGAGGTATGCAGGAATGGCCCTCACTAATCTCACCTTTGGAGACGGCACCAACAAGGCCCTGCTGTGCTCCTTCAGGGGCTTCATGAAGGCCCTTGTTGCTCAGCTCACTTCGCCAAGTGAGGACCTGAGGTAGGCGTTTCCTTTCGTTTTGCACAAAATCGTTTTACTAAATTTAAAATTTTAGACAAGTGACTGCAAGTGTTTTACGGAACCTCAGTTGGAGAGCAGATGCTGCCTCGAAAGCCACTCTTCGAGAGGTCGGAGCAGTTAGAGGACTGATGGAAGCTTCCATGGAAGCCAAAAAGGAATCTACCCTTAAATCTATTTTGTCAGCTTTGTGGAACTTGAGTGCTCACTGCAGCACAAATAAGGCTGAGATTTGCCAAGTAACATAAATAAATTTAAAATTATATCAAAAATTAAATTTTCCTTTAACAGGTCGAGGGCGCCTTGGCATTTTTGGTTCAAATGCTTACTTACAAGAGTCCCTCACAAACTTTGTCCATTGTCGAGAATTCGGGTGGCATTCTTAGGAACATTTCTAGTCACGTAGCCATTCGAGAAGATTACAGAGCCATCCTCAGGGCACACGGATGCCTCCAGGTGTTGCTTCAGCAGCTGAAAAGTCCTTCTTTGACAGTTGTGAGCAATGCCTGCGGGACGCTATGGAACCTTTCAGCCAGGTGCCCTGAGGACCAGCGGGCTCTTTGGGACATGGGTGCTGTCAGCATGCTGAAGAGTTTGGTCAACTCTAAACACAAGATGATCTCCATGGGTTCAAGTGCAGCCCTGAAAAATCTGCTCGGTGCCAGACCGCCAGGTGCTTCCCCCCTAGAACACCGCAACAGCCAAGGAATGCCTGTGCTTTCCGTCAGAAAGCAGCGGGCGCTCGAACAGCAGCTCGACCACAATTTGTCAGAGACGTGTGACAATATTGAACCCACCAGCCCCAACAGAACATCTCCGTCAACAAGGTAAAGTTGAGCAAAAAATGCAATATGCAAAGTTTTCATTTTTATTTTTCTCTAGGGATGACAAATATGTTTTTGCCAACACTGAACGAACGTTTGACAGACGGCATAGGATGTACCAGTCGTTGAACACTGGTACCTCAAATGGCAGGAAGGTTCCACGCTCTGATAGCAGGGAATCGGTGAAAAGTGATTCTGTGTGTGATCGGGTGAAGCAGCAGAAGAGGCCTCTAACAACCAACAGAAGTCTTGACTTGCAGCTTAATCAAGATATCTGTGTCAGACACAGCCCACCTGCTACAGGAACACAAAGCGAAGGGGCGTCACCGGAGGACGAGGAGCCCGTGTCACTCAAAGAGCAGGTCTCTGTTGACGACAAGGAGAAAAGCCCTGAGGTAAATTGAAAAAAGAAAAATCATACTTTTTTTTCTTTCTTTGCCGGGGTCAGGTTTCTTCATACATTTATCTCAAAAACTGAGCCAGAGGGATTTAATTTAATTGTGTATTGAACTTTTAGGTTCGACCACCGCAATATCAAAATTATGTTTATGAGGAGGACGAGGACTACCAGCCAGTAAACTACAGTTTGCAATACGCTGAAAAAAATGTGGATGTAGCAAGGAGATTTGCTGGCAGAAATTATGGTACTTATGCAGAGACTGACCTAGATAACCCAGATCAACCAACAAACTACAGCCTTAGGTAATTATCAAAATAAAAAACATAAAATATTTAAAATAAATTCTAATAATAATCAGGTATGGCGAAGAGGAAGAGGAGGAAGAGAAACCATCCCCAGGAGCTTACTATCAACACTCGGCTGCTCATGAGGATTCTGTCAAAACTTATTACACGGAAGGCACACCCCTGAATTTCTCCACAGCTACTTCCATTTCAGACTTGCGAGAAGCCATTAGAAAGGAAGAAAAGAAGGAAGAAATTAAAAAGGAGGTTGTGGAAGTTGACGAAACAGACTCACTGCCTGCACCATCAGGCACCATGTCTCCTGAGAAGCCCACTCAGTACTGCGTAGAAGATACACCAGTAATTATTTTTTAATTTTTTTTTTCAACTGGACTCTTATCTTTTTTCTGTCTAGGTTTGCTTCTCAAGAGTGAGCTCTCTCAGTTCCCTGCACTGTTCCGAAGGCGTCCCAGAAAGTGTCAACGAAGTTCAGCCTGAGGAACCCAAGGCGCCAGAGCCAGAGGAAGCCTCTCCACCCAAAAACATACCTGATAAGACCCTTGAGACGCCTCTGGTCTTTTCAAGGTGCAGTTCTGTGGCTTCACTTACCTCATTTGAGCAGCATTCGATTCACGACGATCGAAGCTCAATTGTCAGCGACTTCAGCCGGCTCACTTCAGGAATGGTGTCTCCATCTGAGTTGCCAGACTCGCCAACTCAAACGCAGCCTCCAAGTCCAAGGGCACCCAAGGCTCCAGTGCAGATTGTGACGTCAACCCCGAGGGCAGCGCCCAGAGCTGGTCCTTCTCAGCCGCAACCTTCTCCTCGCACAAAGGTTAGTGATGAAGTTTAAATAATTTCTCATCTAATTATTATATTATCTTGCTAAAGGTCACTGAAGGTGAAGGTGATGATGAGAAGCAGGACAAAGAAAAGGAACTAGCAACAGTTAGTGAGGAAGAAGAGGTGGGTGACGAGGATGACAGTGGACTACTGGATGCTTGCATCTCAAGTGGCCAACAGCGTCTTCGAGCTTCAGCTCCAAGGCCCCGCTTCTTGAGACCAAGGCCCAGTGGCATCCCAACTCGCATTCCTCGTCGCCTACCCAGACTTCAACCTGCACCCAATGACGCTTGTGCTGATGCTGTGCAAACCTTCTGCACTGAAGACACTCCAGCCATCAGCCACGCCGGGTCACACTCTGACCTCTCAGTACGTAGATGAACCTCTTTTTTAAGCTTTTTATTCTAATTGTTATTATTTTATTATTAAAGGTTCTTTCACTCCGTGAAAGTGCTGAGGGTGATTCTGTAGGTGATGAGCGCCCGAAAAACGCAAGTACCCGTGAAGAGTCTGACGATAGCTCTTTCTCTGGAGACAATGAGCACATTTTGGCCGAGTGTATTCAGTCAGGAATGCCCAAGGCCAAAGACACAGTCAAACGTAAACGGCCGCCTCGAGTTTTACCATCTCGAGACGAGATCAAAACTTTTGCCGTCGAAGACACTCCATTCGGACTGTCCACTGCCACTTCCTTGAGTGACCTCACTATAAATTCTGCTGCCAGGGTTGTAGACGGACAATGCTATACACCAATAAGGTAACTTATTTTGCCTTTATTATGCTTTGTTCTCTTTTAAGTTGCTTTTATTTTGGTCTCAGATACGCAACCGAAGACACTCCTGCAAATTTCTCACACGCATCCTCCCTCAGTTCACTGAATGTGGAAGAGGGGGATGTTCGCAGGCCCCCAGCAGAAGCGTGGGGCATCAACAAGGCAGCGGCCAGCTCGGCCTCAGAAGAAGTGGTCACCGTAGTCTCCAGAAACGGCTCCCTCAGTTCCCTGAGTGTCGAGTCTCTAGGCGCTGAACCCAGCCCCTCCGAACAAGCCCTTCTAGACCAGTGCATCAGCATGGGCATGAGCAAAAGCAAGAGCGACCTTGCCAGAGCCCAGGCCAGAACCAGCAATGCCAAAGGTGTTTCCCCAGGTATCCAATTACAAACAAACAAATCAATGAGTGTATCTCACGAGCGGTGTTAATTACAGATCCTTCCAAAGAACTTGATTGCACTACCCCTACCAACCCCACCTCCGATACCTTCTCGGAGGGGGCAAAAAACGTGTGTCCTCCCGCCGTGGTCACCGCTGTTGCCACGGCGGAGGCAGACATCACCGTTCTCAACGGAGGCGAAACGTCGTCGTCCTCGAGCAAGACGACGCCAGAGGAAGCGGCCCAGCCCCCAAAAGTGATGACGGACACTTGGACTGAAGACTCACCCCTTTCTGTTTCCTTCCCCAGTCTAAGCGGAAGTGTCCCGCTTGCTTCCTCGCAGGACGAGGCAAAACTTGAGGTTAGTATTTGATTTATATTTAATAAAAATTAATTTTGCAACCATATTTTTATTTAATCATGAATTGCAATTTTTAATTTCAGGAAAAATTCATCATCAGTCGATCAATGGAGGGCATGCTTGAGTTAGAGGCTGGACGAGTTGTCAAAGCAATTGTTGACGAGGCCTCCTCTGAATCCTTCCTGGAAGTGACACGGCCTCCTCCCAACATGTTTGGAAGCACAACTTCCACCAGTCTCTCCAACGGAAGCCGCGTACCAGCCGTGGTCCTGAGAGCCCTAAACGGAGAGTCGATCGACCACCTTCTGCTCAGTGGTTCTTCCAGTTGCACATCTCACCTAGACAATGTCAAACCGCCAGCTGCTTTTGACGAAATTGATATGGAAAACAGCATGGTAAATACATGCATAATTATTTCGCAATCATTTTTGCTCTCTATACAACGTAGTTGCTTGATTTTTCATCTTGAATTTCCGTTTCAGATCAGTGTTGCCAGCATTACGTCAGAAGTGGCAGGTGATGCGCACAAAGTAAGCAGTGGCGAGTCGGAAAACTTCTTTGACCTCATGAAGCCGGCAGCCACCATGGCTGAAATCTACTGCAGAGCAGCTTGCGCTGCAGCTAATTGCCACAGCTTCAGTGAAAAGCTGGACAGCATCAATCCTCCTTCCATTCTCCAGGAACTCACGGAAACGTTGGAACCTTGTAGTGAGACTCTAGGTTCTGACACCGAACCTGAGGACTTGCCTGCTGATCAGTCAAATCAGTCAACGCCCAGGCAAAAAAGGAGACCGACTCCTAAGGAGAGGAGGCAGGTTATGAAGGAGAGGTACAACACCTACACAATTGACGACGAGGTGTCGGTACGGCCGAGCAATCTAGATTTGCATAAAAGCAGTCGGCAGCGAAGAATGGAAGAACCTGAAAGGTATCTCACACAGACCATCGAAACGCCGACTCAGGTCAAAACGCCAAGGCAGCGGCGTCAGGATGATAAGGAAAGGTACTTAACACAAACTGTCCAGCTACTGCCTTCTGAGGAACCTCAAGAGCCTTCCGAGAGCGAAGAAGAAGCCAAACCAAAAATTGTCAAGCCTTCAGAAGAAGGCAGTCCAAAGAGCATCAGAGGCCGCAGGAAGGCCCTTTACACTAGGCCTTCAACGGCTGCGGCAAAACCTCCAGTCGTCCCCAAAGCCCCAGCTGGCCCCACCATCAGACCCACCAGGGCCTCTGCTCTTCGCCAGAGAAGTAGTTCTCCGAGGTCGCACTCTGCTCCCACTCCAAAGAAGATAAACGTCCCACAGTCTGTGACTCCTGCAGCTTCCAGGACCCCGAAAACCCCGAGTACTCCAAGCACCCCTAAATCACTGGTGCCCACACCTAAAACCATCAAGCCTCCTGTTGCTGGGAAAACTATGGCTAAAGCAGCCCCCAAAGCTCCGAACAATAGTCCGGACGGAGCGGCCAAATCGTCTCAACCTCCCAAACTTGTCAAGCAAGGAACTTTCACTAAAGACTCGACGGACACCAAAGTGTCAAAAATTCCTGTCCGCTCTCCCAGCGCAGACACCATTACTGCAGCTCCGGCCTTCCGGCCTCAACCTGAGGCCAAAGTGGCCACCAAGAGTCGACTTGTTCGCCGAGACGCAGTTGGTCCCTCGAAGGAAACAAAAGCTCCTCAGCCAAAACCAAGGTCACCCTTGATGACGAGGAGAATCGCCGCTGGTGGTTTGAAAACCTCTCTGAGTAACAACAGCATCCAGTCCGAGGCAGCTGGCGCTCCTCTGAAGGTGAAAACCAATTCCAACCCGAGTTTGAATGGCCCGAAGAAAAAAGAGGTCACCTCGAAAATCGCCTCTTTGTGGAAGAAGGTCGAAGACACTCGAATTCAGCAAAAGTACGGCGCCAAGTTTGGCCCAAAGGACACTCGAGTGTGGATCACGCCGGACGCCGGCTCGGAGGACGCCCCGGTGCAAGGGACGTCGCAGGGAAACCTGAAGGCCCCCGCCCGCAGCACCACTTTTGAAAAGCCAGCCGCGGGCCGTCTGTCCATCTTCAATGGGGGGCCTTCAGCCTCGAAAGCGGCCATAGTGCAGCCGTTCAACTACAGCCCGCCACCCCCGGCCTCGGGGAGCAAAGAGGAAGCGGCCGCAGCATCGGCCGGCTCCGTGCGGGTCACCTCAGTGTGAGCCATTCCGCAGCGACTGACTGTACATAGATAGATACATAATTGCAGCTATATTCTACTTTTTTGTTCCGTATTTCTGGCAGTTTTAGGAAGCAAAAATCTATTATTTTGAAATCTGTTACATTCTGTGATTTTTGATTAGTAAATAATTATAAAATGATAATTAATATGCAGCTCTTAACATCACTTCTTTTCTCAGCCATATTTCGTAAAGGTGTAGAAAGCCGTGCTATTTTACATAACTATGTACTGTGCGTAGGAGGAGAAATTTAAATTTCCTCTTTTTTCATCACAACCTCCAATGAGGCCATTTCCGCTTAAGATTTATTTTATTCTCTCATGTTCCTATTTATTTTTTTGAACTTCTTCTCATCAGGCGACTCTCAGCCTTATCGATAATGATGTTTACTGCTACGAATGCAATTATCACTTGTATATGCAAATAGTGATGGTATAATAAAATCCAACTTGCATTATTCATGATATAACAGGTCATTTTAATTGAAAATCCTAAATTTTTATTAAAAAAAAAAAAAAATAAATAAATAAATAAAAATAAATTACTTTTGAATTCATACTATGGGGGAGATTCAATAGACCGGGTATAAAAGAAATCCCGGGATAAATCCAAAGTGGTAAAGTTTATCCTGCTGTTGGCGCTGACCCGCGATAAATATTTTTTATCCCACCTTCAACTTCTTTGTCCCCAATTCTTTCCAGGATAACTTTTTCTTCACCCTCGTAACAGTAACAAGAGAAACACGAGTGTAAGGGCTTACGCATGAGTGTAAGTAGTACTAACAAAAACAAAACTTTTCAAAGACCATGGCAATATTAAATTTGAAACCAAATGATAACTAATAATTTTTATCCCAAAACGTAAAAGAAATAATTAAAGGCAATTGACTCTGATATAATTATTTGAATCATTTATTATTAGCATTGGTTCCTGATTTCTACACGAATTTGAAATTAAACATATTCTTTCTTTGAAAAAGATAATTACACAGCACTAAGGCGGATCACCCAACCTGGTTCAGCAGCAAGGGAGTGGCAGCGCTCGATCACTGGCTGAATGACTCTCGGCATCTTTTTCCATACACTCTAGATCCACATGCATTCATCCAATCACAACTGCAACAAACATGTGATAAGAAAAGTTATTAAGGAAAAAATACTGTATGGTAATTAAAAAATATAAATTGAGAATTGAGTTTCTCAAATTTCATTATCTATCCAATTTAAATTTAAACATAAATTAAACTATCTTGGTTTCAAGATTTTTCCACAATTAGATTTTGTATTCTCACCCTAAAATTAAGAAGAACCCTAAAGAGCATTGGGCTGGGGCCCGAGTTGCGAGGGGTCCTCCATTTGTGGGTTGATTGGTTTGAACTGCTCTGCTGAGAACCGGGTGATGAGAATGCCGATGCCCTCGATCATGGCCAGTAAGACGCCGCCGATGACCGCACTGCCACCCATGGCAAGAAGGCCGTTCCTGGCCGCAAGGATGCCACCGGTAGCTGCACCACTGATTATCGAATTCCAGGGGTCTTCCTTTTTCCTAATTTGAACTAATGTGCAGTCGATCGTCGAAAACATGCCACCCCAAACAGCAAAGTTGCCGCCAATGATGGGTGCTCTTGCCTTGATGGCTGAAAAAAAATAAATATAGTTTTCAGGATAATTTTTTTACAATTGTCAGTCAAAAACATTTTTTTTTTTTTTAAATAAAAAAATAATAATAAGAAATAAATGAAATTACATGAGTTATCATTAATTGATTTAAAAAATGCAGCATTATAAACTTCTTAATATTAATTGTCATTCAAGCAGCATAATAACTGCATGACGAAATTCAAACTTGCATGAAACAACCGAGTCCTTGAAAAAAAACACGCTTGATTTTCATCTTCATAACCATCGGTGACTGAGTCAAAACATCCAAAAGTTTGCAATTACCTGTCAGACTGCTGGCCATTCGTCTGTTGAAGCCGGAAGGTGCGTTTCTAAAGCCCTTGATGGACTGAAAGACGGCGCCGCCGATGCTGCCCATGGTGAAGGCACCGCCGCAGTCGTCGACGATTCGCCACGGACACGGCTCTCTTGCGTACTCTTCCATCTGAATTTAGACGACAGCCGATTATTTGCAACAAATTCAACTTCCTCCGTGACTTACCGTGGCTCAGGGGACCAAGTTCTTGTGAAAAAATTCCGAAAAGTTAATTTTACGATCAATATTTGGCCATGCTTTTAGTTGATAGGAAAGTTTATAGGAAAGAAGATGCGCGAATCAGCGACGGCCATCACGGTTTCTTGTTCTCCGCCGAATCAGCCAATCAGAGGTGAGGAAAATAAGTAAGAATCTGCTTGCAGCGCCAACTTTGCTAGAAAAATTGAACTAAAATTTGCATGTTAAGTCGTAACACGAATGATAGGGATTTCTAATGTGAATCTTGAGTTCCTAATTTGCTGGGTAGGAGGCACTGCAATCTGTCATGGTGGATCAAAAATCTAATCCTCTGTACTTCATAACTTCAAAAATTTTCAGCCCAGCTGGTAGGGTGAACCAGGTGAACTGAGGTTTCTTGCCGGAGTTCAGCTTTGAAACCAAAATTAACACTTTTCTTAATTGAAAACTGAAAATTCTTTAGATCCCCAACCAGACTCTGCCCATGTGCGAGGAGAGGTGCTAATCAGTCGACTGATGCTTGTTGGACTGATGGTTGAAGGGGTATTTTGGCAAAGTGGACCAAGGTGAGAAGTGGAACGTCGTCTCTATTTAAAAAGTGCCCCTGCTAATAAGTTGTTTTTGTCTCCGCTATAGCAAGATGCTCTGAATGAAGACCCGCTGGTGACGGAGGAGGAGGAGGCGTTTTATTGTCTGCCAAAATGCGTTTCTGAGGACTCGGATTATTTACTTGGAGGCGCGACAATGACGTCAAACTCGTCTAAGCTGCTGGATAAAAAGTCCTGGCAGGAGTTTGCCTGCGGGTGGGGCGCCGCCTTCATAAACATTACGGTCACCTACCCCATCAACAAAGTCATGTTCAGACAGGTTGGTCATTTGCAAGCCTCAATTTGAAAATGATTTGATTCAATGATAAAATTTGCAGATGCTTCACGGTCTGAAAACAAAGACTGCGGTGGCCCAGCTGCGGTCGGAGGGAGCCTGGTACCTGTATCGAGGGATGCTGCCACCCCTTGTGCAGAAGACCTTGAGTGTGTCTCTCATGTTCGGAATGTACGAGCAGTATAAACGAATTATTCACACAAATATTCCTTCGATGCCTGGACCACTGACGAATGCAACGGCAGCAATGTTGGCTGGAACCACTGAGGCTGTTTTGGCACCCTGTGAGAGAATTCAGACTCTTTTACAGGTACAAAGATGTTTCTTTAAAGAAGACTTAAAATTTTTATATTGCTATGAATACGATAGTTAATAGAATAGAAAATATTGGGTAAATAAAATTAATGGCAATGACATTTTGTAGACTAATTTTGCTATTTTGAGACTCGAATCAGCAGCGCAGTTTGCTCTAAATAGGCAAAAGAAAGAGTTTCAATAATAACTATCCTTTCTGTTTACATTACATTTCAAATCTTTGATTTTTTTTTAGTAATATTTAGTTCATAAGTTTATTTTTTTAATAATTTTGAATTTTTCTTCCAGCACGAGAGCTACCATTTGAAGCTGAAAAACACAGCCCATGCCTTCAGTTATGTCTGGGCATCTCATGGAGCAAAGGAATTTTATCGAGGCCTAGTGCCCATTTTGCTCAGGAATGGCCCAAGCAATATTTTATTTTTCTGGGGGAGAGAAGAAGTCGCAAAACGTTGGCCCACAACCTCAAATCCGAGCTTATCTTTGGTAATTATATAAATTATTTTTAAAATAACAAGAAGAAAATATAATTATGTGATACAAATTTTTAGACATATATAAATTACTTTTATAATTAAATTTAAAAATTAATATTATCTATTCCAATAAAATGTAAATCAAACTTCGAAGCTAATAATAATTTTTGATTCAAATTTTTTCTCCTAATATTCATTTTTTTTTTTCTTTTTTTTTAGGTACGGGATTTCGTTGGTGGGGCCCTAATCGGAGGCGCAATTTCAACCCTCTTCTACCCAATAAATGTAGTAAAAGCTCACATGCAAGCTCAGCTAGGTGGACCTTTTCATCCGTTGACTCAGGTGTGGCGTGAAGTGAGCCGTGAGAGAGGAGGCTGGCGCAAAATGTTCCTCGGCGTGCATGTAAACTACACAAGAGCGTTGATTAGCTGGGGTGTGATTAATGCGTCTTACGAATTGTTAAAAAATTTGTTCGTCGATACTTAGTGTTGGCAAAGAGGGACATTCATCATTATATTTTATTATACATGCAGAGCACACACAAACACAGCTGATATTGGGAAAACTATTTTATTTTTGTTCATTATTGTCCACTGTGTGGATTCAGTCAATTTTTGATGCTAGTTTAGGGATAACGCCATTTCAAATGCAGATTAGCTTGAAACTGTTGTATAATAATTATGTAATTTCTTGAGTGTTGTTAGCTACGATGCCATTGCGTTGATTGTTCCTTTTACGCAGCAATTAAAGTTTTTATCGTTGATGTTGCTATATTACAATTATTTTTTTTAATAAAAATTCCTTTGCATAATTTCAAATTTCTCGGTGGACTTTGCTGTTTAAATAATTCAAAGTTGTGTGTTTAAAAAATATGTACATTTATTTCTAAGTTAAAATATCCATTGGACGGAATGGTTTGCGTTTCTGTAAATATTTCAGGACAGAATAACATTTTTTGATTCTGTACAATCAAAATTCTTACTTTTCTAATTGAGAACAAAAATAGCTAAAAAGTTTAACATAAAATTCATCAAAAGACATTCGTTGTCGAGTTATAAAAAAAAAAATAAGAATGTGGAATTTCATGAGCGAAGTCTATGACGGCAAAACAAGACGCCACAGCACAAATGCTGCTCCCACTGCTGCGACCAAAACTGTCACGCTGCTCTTCGCTGAACTGGCTCCAAGCTGAAATTATTCATTTCTCAATTAAAAATCCCATTCTTCAAAAAACATTTCAACTCTTACGATGACATAGTAGTTGCATCTGTCTCCCTGGCAGCACTCTGCACACTTCCAGTCCTCGTACCAAATGTGCGTGCAGAAGGGCATGAATTGCGACCTGAGCTCCGAACACTGCTGCTTGGTGGCACATCTTTTTGAAACGTAAAACTGCTTAGCTGCTCCTTGGTCCCAGTAGGGTGTGGCTGTTGAAAAAATAACCAAATTATTGTTGATGATAAGTTATTAGTTAGTTGACGCATTTCACAATATTCCACAAAGGTCGAATATTTAAAAAGGGTGTGGCCCAAAACTTACAGCCCCATTTCACTTCGGAGAGACACATGTCCTCATTTTGCTCGCACGTTTTTATCGTGTTGAGACACTTCTCTTGGTTGTGCTCTTGGTTGGTGCAAACGTAACATTCCAGCGCAGTCGCTGAAATTTTTGCAAAATAAATTATAGTCCCAGTCAAAAATACAAACAGCCGTTAACTTTTTTGTTATTTACATACTGACGATTTACATATTTCAAAGCACTTACCGCTCGCAAATAGACCTGCAAGTAGTGCGACGAAAATCATTTTCCACTTAAATGCCTGAGAAAACCTGAGAAGAACTTATGAAAAGAAAGAATTTTGCAAAAGAAATTGATTAGAATAACAGGGGCGTCTCATGAGGAATGCTAAAGTTGTTTATTTCTAGTTTCTAGTTCTTCGGAGACCTCCGATAGGCGCAGAATGTGGCGCTGTAGTCGAAATTTGGCGGGTTGCATGACATATCTCTGCAAATTTGCGCCATGAGCTCAATGAAGAATGAAAAAATGTCACACTTATTTGCTTCAGCCTAATAATCGCATGGACGAGGTCTGTTACAAAGATTGAATGTTTGAATTGCTAAGAAAATACTTGAGTTTTAATTTTATTATAATCAATCAGATATATTTTAGCTTTGAAAAAAACAACCCATCCCATTCTATTATATTTGTCTGTAACATATAAGATCAGTTTAATTAAATCTAATAAAGAGAAATAAAATCAAGAACCATTAAAACATAATATTTAAATAAATATCTTGCAATATAACTTTATTCGTTTGTTTAAATTGTCAACAAAATAAATACTCTAATTACTAATGCTCCTGCACAGAGTGATTTTCACTATTATCAGCCTCATGGACCTGGAAATTATTAAACATTAGTTTAAATGCTTTTTTAATTGCAAAATAACGTACTTCGTTCTCCAGTCTGTTGTACTGTGTGGCATCTTCATTGTGCGATTTTCGAGGTATTAACGTCACAGTGGCAAGGAAACCCAGCAAAGCGGCACCTCCGCAGACAAAGCTTAGCATGTTTCGATAGTAATGAGGGCATTCAGTTAGGCATTTGCTAAATGAATTGTATGTTTGAATTAAAGTTTTGATTGTTAAAATAATAACAGATCTTACAAGCTTTGAATGGCAGTCACCGCAAGACCATTGGACAGTTTGTCTGCAAAACTCATTGACCCGTAGACAAAAGCACCGCTTTCGGAATCGGAACCTATAAAGTCAGCGGTGATGCCTAAACTGGTCACCAAAAGTACTGAGCTGCCAGCACCAAAGAGGGAAGCAACTCCGTAGATTTCGTACTTCGAGTAGAAATCCCCGGTGCCAAAATAAACCCACGCACAAGCTCCTCCTCCAAGCAGTGCTCCAAATAGATATGAAATCTAAAAAGTGTATTTCGTAAATTAATTAAAAGCAGAATTTTTTAAGTGGCAAAATTCCCAAATTGGGAATATATTCAATTTTAAAACTATTCAAGTGAATTGAAAACTTAAAAAAAAAATTGGTATCAAAATTATCAAATTTTCAACCATTTTAAATTTTAATTTAACTAAATTTCCAACCTTTCTTCCACAAAATTTGTTGACGTGTCCGACCAGAAAAGAAAAAGCAAAGCTGGAGAGGAACATGGCAAGTGGAACAGTTGCCAGAGCCTCCGCGTTAACTTTTAGTGAGTCGTGGAGGTACAGAGGCATGTATACCTATGAGAAAATCTTGTAAATTTAATCACTTAGTACGGAAAAAAATCGTTACCTGACTGAGATTCACAAACAGGCGGGTGCACATGTAGAGAAGGGCAACTTGATAGAATTGGGGGACTTTCATAAATTTCTTTGGGGACATCTTTCTTCTGGCCGGAAGGTTGGGCTCTATTATTTCTTGTGATGAGTCGATGGACATCGATCTGGTCGGAGGTGGTTCTGGAGTGCCACAGTGGAAGAATATTGAGCAGAAAATTCCAATCGCAAGTCCAATTAAAACAATGTGCTAAAAAAAGTACATTTGAATCCATACTAAAGGTAAATAATATTAAAATAAAATACTTGGAATTTAAACATGTCTTGCGGGCCTATTTGGTCATCAGTTATATCACTCGTCATGTGCAAGATGGTCCAAGTTATCACATACACCAAAATATTTGATATCACAGTAAAAGTGTATCTGAAATGTACAAGAGAAATTTGAATAAAACAAATTTTCTTAAACAGAAAAAATCTCTTTTTCAAAAAATTGAAGCCAAAAATCTATTGTAATTATGGGTTATTGTATTTTTAAAGTAATTTCTGTACCTAATTGCAATAAGTTTTGTGCGTTGATGCTCATGTGGGCTTAAGTGAGGGATGAGGGAGAGGTGAGAAATTTGCACCGAGGCCCATCCGAATTGAAAAATGACGATGAAGGCAGAGTAGTAAATCAGCTGGGCCCACTCGTCGCTGCTTTCGCATCCGATGCACGGGAAAAAGATGAAAGGGAAACTGGCCAAGACGCACAGAGTTCCTGATGAATAAATTTTTTAAAACAAATTTCAATCAAATAATTAAAATCACAAACCAACTAAATGCCAAGTCTTGCGGTGGCCGAAGCCAAGCCTGGCCAGACAGTTCCAGGAGCATCCTGTGGCCCCACGGTCGACCTCAATGCCAACGAAAGGGGTGGCCAGGGCGTCAGCCACCTGACCCACCAACATCAGCAGCCCAGCGTTGGTGGCGTCGAATTTGAGCACCAGGTGGAAAAAGACGAGCAGGTAGGTGAACCACATGGAGGCGCAGATGTCGTTCAGGACGTGTCCGATGCCGTAGGAAAACCGCAGAAGGGCCCCCAGCTCCCCAGCAACTTCTGTCGCCGCTGCCTCCATTTTTTTAGAAATAAATTAAATCCTCGGTCCAGCTGCAGTTAAAAAGGTGGAAAATCAACAAAGACTTTTCACAGGGTAGTGCTCAGCACCTGAAATAAAAGGAATTTATTACTTTTTTAATAGAAGAATGTGATTTTATGAAAATCTGATTGCTGTTAAATTGTTACATAACCATGATAATATGCATCAATCAAATTGATGAGAAAATGTGGATCAAAGGATCTTGGGAAATCCGGGGAAATCAATAAAATTCTCAAAATCGGCGAGCAAAGAAAGAAAGCAGGAAATAAATTGAGCAATAAAATTGCTGTTTTATTATCCACATTTTCTTATCAGGAAACAAAAACGTAGAAGTCAGTAAATTGTGGGAAATTTAAAGAGATGAATTCTCTCAGCAAGTTGTGAAAGAGAGGAAAAAAAACTTTGACGAACCTAAAATCTTACAAAAATGTGCCAAATTTGCAACAGGTTGTGTGCTATGGACGTTTATCTTCATTACGGAGGCGTCGTCGGACGAAAAATCTCACGTGCCCTATGATATTTCGGATAAAAACAATGCGTGCAACATCATCATCTTTGTTTGTGTACAAATAATCGCCCTTTGACGTCACGAGTTTCAACAAGTGGCCGCTCGGGATGAGGAGCGCTCCGATCGCAGCCCGCTTTTGAGAAATAGCATTTTTTTTTCTCATTATCTCATTCTATCAAATTTTTGTGAAAGGAAACTATGTCATGTATTGTGCGAAAGACCCCGATAGCAAAATACCTGCAGTTCAGCAAGTTAGCGCCCGTGGACCTTGGATAATTCATGATTCATGAAAGATATGAAATGCGTTAAAAAGTGAGTACAATTTTTTCAAATACATAAATGTATAATTTTATGTACAGCAGGGAGATTATGTACTTTTATCCCTTTTATCTTTTATCCATTCATCATAACAAAACCCACCTAAGATTTTCAATTTCTTGTGCATATAAACTTTTAAATTCTCAAATTTTCTCTGTAAAATAATGTGAACAATTATTGAAAATTAGCATTAATAGCATAAAAAGAGAGTTCTCCAAAATGGACTACATAATTTTGCAATCGATTCAAATTTTGTTTTATGTGCTGTACAAAACTTTTTGTTTTTGTTATTTATGTATATGTCTCAAAATCATTGGATAATTAAGAAAAAATGATATCTAAAAAAAAAACTCAGATTACTTCATCAGAAATTTGTACATAATTATGTTTTTATGTATAAATTTTTTCACACTCATGCTATGAAATTGGCAATGAAAGTCGAGAAAAGAAGAACCAAAACAGATGCAGCCAGCGAACCCGAATCATTTCTCACAATAAACGTGCGCATTTGCATAGGTTTCATTACGACATTATTCGTTTCGTACATTTCTACATTATCCACTGGATTAAATTCTGCATCGCCAGTTGCAATCTCCTGATCGCCCTCGATTTTGAATTTCATTCTGGAGGTGTCGGATTTCCATTTGTTTCCTCCGAGGGTGGTTTCCATGAAGACCTTTTCATGCCCAAACCTTTCGGTTAAATGCTGAAAAACGGAATTTTCAGAACTTTTCGCCTTATTAATAATTAATTGTAATTACTTGAGTAGGTGCAAAAGATTCGAGCGAAAGCACTGGGTCGTCATTTGCCTCGTAAAAATGCTCAAAACGCACCAAAATATCTTCTCCTTTGTTGATCGGCTCCAAAGTCAAAATATTGATGTTCTCAGGCACTTCCAAATCAATTCCTTTGTACTGAAATAATTAAAATTAAAGATATATTTAAAAAATATAAAATTTTCGTAATAAAATTTAAGATTTTTCCATAAAAGTTTTGATAAAATTAAATATTATCAAAGCAAAAATAGTTTATAATAAATAATATTCTTAAAATTTAAATTAATTTGCAATTATTTAAAGATAAAGATGTATGTGCTTGTAAAATAATTACATTGACTGCATAATTTTGCATCCACTCTTCTTCAGTCAATTCCGTGCCACTGACGAAAGTCCAAGGAGCCAAATTCATTTGGTCTCGGCTCCATCTTCTCTTTTTCGCGACCGGCGTTGGGCTGCTGGTCAAAAGTTCCAGGTACATCAGGTGCCTGCCTCGAGCGATCATCCCCTCGTTTCCGTCGAACGTTTCATTCAGACTTTCGCCCACACCCCTTGCGTCGTCATACATCAATCGTCGGTGCAACTGTATTGAAAAATGTATTATAAAGAAAGGAGCAAAAAAAAAGGTAACATTAAATTTGAAAATTTTGGGGAATAAATGGAAAAATTAATTTTTTGAAAACAATTCTGCAAATCTAGATTTTTAATTAAATTGCGTTTTAAATTTTTTGAATTTTAAAAAGAAGAGCTTTAATTCTTGATCTTAAAAGGTTTAAAATTGATGGAAGTTTTGAACAGGATTCCAAAGTTAATTTTATTTTTGGAAATTTTTAAACTGAAAACGAAATTTGAAAAAAAACCCTCTAAACTTACTAACACAGAAGATTGAAATTTTTAAAATTTTTTACCATCAGTTCCAAGGTTCCGTCTTGCATACTAGTTCCACCTTGAGCTCTGTCGGTGACGATTCCGAACTCAGACCTTCCATCTCTGGTCGAAATGAAAGTGGTCACTGGGTGGTAATTGCCGGCGACCGGTTCTTTAAGGTCGAGTTCCCAGGTTGGACGGAAGTTGCGTTTTCGCTCGATGCTTTCTCGGCCGTTGGAATCTGTGTGGAAAAGTTCTTGCGTCTGCATAGCGGGAATCGAGTATTTGGTGATCACTTCCTTGCCAGGGTTTTCTGGGTCGTTTCGACTTAAAAAATTGATTAAAAATTTGATATCGTTTAACTAAATTTTATAGAATTTTGGCTTACTCTGCCGGAATCGGGCCAATCTGCCATTCAAACTCCACATATTCTGCATCGGTGTAAACTCTGACCACTTGACTGACCCAGTCAGAAAACTTTTGATGTGTTTCTTGGACAATTTCACCTTAAAAAAAATTTGGTAATAAGTTTTTTTCTTTTGTATTAAAATTATCGTTTATTATGAAGCATGACTTATTATTATGATTCAATTTATTTTTAAATTGAAACCAATAAATTATTTCAAAAAAAAATTTTTTAAATAATTTGATTAAATGGAAGATAATCTCTCTCATTTTCATTAAAAAATATTATATCTGCAAACAAAAATTTGTCGACTTTTTACAATTATTATTATTTAATTCAAATTTGAATATTTGCACGCTATTTCATACCTTTGAAGGTTTCAATTTCAGCCTGTGAGCTGATAGGGGTGGGATCGTCTCCGTCGGGTCTGAAAATGTAAGCTCCGGAGGTTTGCCCGTTGAGGATATTCCCTCCACTTCCCTTGTAGTAAAAGAAGTTTTGGTTGAACTCGGGGTAGTTGAAATTTTCAGATTTCAAATTCAAACTCGCAGCCAGGCCGGTTAGTGGATCGAAATTGAGCTCAAGTTTCTGAGGAGGGAATGCGTTTCAAGTCTCTGCTTCATTATGAAATTTGAATAGTGTGTACGTTGTTGGAAAGGGTGAACTTTTGGTCGTCGGCGACAGGTTCCGGCACGGGAGATTCTTCCGTGGTTTTTGTGATGTAGAAGCTGCGGAAACCGAGCGGGGGAATTGTGGCCACAAAAAGCAACTCCTGCTCGGCTGTGCTCGTGCGGTAAGGGATGCTGAACACGGGGGTAGGAATTTTAATCATCTGCGTCGGAATCTCGGATCCTGTGGAAAAAGATTATTTTCCAAAAACTTTCAATTCTATAGTCAAATTGGAAATTATGGAATAAATTATGTAAAAGCTCCTCCTTATTTTAAGGTGTCATTTTAGAAAAATTAAAAAGATAAAAAAATTTAGGTATTTTGCTTGCAAAATTTTTATGACATCATATAATTGTAATTAATTAGTAACAATTATAAATTAAAATCAGATCCTAAAATAAATTTAAAATCACTGAAAATATACATCACTACAATCTACTGAAAATATTTTGTTTCAGAATTTGTCTTATTATTTTAAGTGTAATGAAAATTTTTTTAAGGTTCGTGCAGCTTTAAAACAAACCCCAAAAATTGCAATATTTGTTAAACAGAACTGCACTCAGAACTTTTGAAATCTTTTGTAACAATTATTTTAATATAAAGAAACGACAATTGAACTATTGCCGGATTCAATTTTCAATATATTTTTCGTAATTTTAAAATATAGGCAGAATTTAAATTCCAAAAAATTTACTAAAAAAAATCGTGTGATCTTTGTTTTTAAAGTTCTGCAACCTGCATGACATTCAAGACGCGCGGGTTGCGTTTCAAATTTCTCAGGCGCTTCTTACCGTTGAAGTAGACCTTGTGTTTGAAATTCTGCACCGGTAGGCGTACATATGATGAGGTTTCTTGCGCCAGAGGGTTGTAAAGGGTGACGACGAAATTAACGTTGTTTTCAGACAACTCGCATTGGCTCACGTTCGAGAGCAAACAAGACTTATACTCGACTTTAGGCACCTCAACCGACTTCGCTGATAATTTACTGCAAAATTATTTTTACTAATAAATTTAGATTTAAATTTAAAAAACATACTTTAAAGCTGTGTTGGAGGTTTCGAGGCAGTCGAGCATGGCCTTGTGCAGCATCAGAGCATAATCTTCGGCGACGTGTTGTTTTTCAGTGCCAGTGATGGCGTCGTGGTGTTGCATGACCCCCATCGCCTCTTGTAAAGAATCCAAATCCTGCCATTTCTCCTGCCGCAAATCGGCCAAGACGCTCAGTTGTTTGCAAACCTAAAATATTTTAACCTCAAATAAATTCAGATTTTATTTTTTTTTTTATTCTGGACCTGCAGCAGATTATTTCCTTTTCTCTCCATGAACTTGAGGGTGGGTCTGGAGGTGTAGTAGCCCGTCCAGTAGCTGTGGTCACCGTCGGCGTACGGGAAAAAGTCGTCGCTCTTCGATTTCCAAACTTTGTCCGCCGCGTGCACCGCCTGCAGATAGCACGAGGGCGTCGAGTAGATCAGATTGATTTTGCTGCCGTTCTCCTGCTCGGCGTTCACGTGTCTAATCGACGCGAGCAAGTATGTAATCGACGCACAATAACAAACAAATTGGGTACTTAATGAGCCTGTCGATGTTATCGAACCAAGAGGCCGCCTGTTGATAAGTGAAGTCGTCCCCCATGGTCACGAGCATGTTTTCCGTTTGGTACGTGTCTTTGCGGGAGTCGACAAAGTCCATAAATGCTTTGACCTTTCGTGGAATAACAAACATAATTAGCAATTTCAAATAACGTTTTGATCAAATTTGTTTTTTCAACTTTTCCACACTTTTTTTATTACGAGAAAAAAATAAATTTAAATAAAAAAAGCTAAATTTTAGAGCAAGTAAATTCATTTTTCTTAAAACAGGTGTTTTTCATAAGATGTACCTTAAAATTTTCAGAAATGAGACTGCCAAAATTTTAATATTTTATATGCAGTGTAGTATTATTGCTTCTGAATATTAAATTGCATTATTAAAAAACATAATTTTTTGTAAATTTTGCCGAAAATTATTGTTTTTTTTTTTTTAACTTCAAATGAAATCGCGCTTGAAAATTTTTAGTTAAGAAATAGAGAACCTTAATTCAGCCAATTCAAATTTAAGTTTTTGGCTGGGTGAAAAACAATTGATGGAAAAAAATGAAATGTTAAATATTTGATGAGAAAGTTGAGAATGTTTTAAGCTACAATTTTTTTAATTTTTTCTATTCTTGAATTTTCTTCCTTTTTAGTTAATTTAATGAAATAATAATTCAAAATAGAGAAAAATTATTAAAATACATAAAAGGTGATGAAGATAAAGCATCCAAATTAAAGAAGTACCGGTAAAAAGGTTGTTTTTAGGCAATTTGTTTTTAAACATCTGACAAATTTTGTATATCGTTTAATTCGCAATTTTCAAATATGTACTTTTATAGCTCTTTTTATGGTCGAATCTCCAGTTTTTATAAGCAATTAATTATTTTCAGTTTTTTTTTTACCCAAGCTTCCCATTATAATTAATGTCAATTTACTCTTTCAGGAACGTTGTAGTCGGGGCTTCTTGTGTCAGTGATTATGGGGTCGTCCCTCGTGCAGTGCACCAAGTCAAAGCAAAATCCGTCCGGGGCGCTGTAATGCTTGTAGAAGGCGTGTGTGAAAAGATCAGACGACTCGCCTTTGAAGTCGTATTATAATTAATCATTAAAGTCATTCACACGGAGGGTCTTTTCTCGCACCGAGGTTGGGGCTCGCTTTCCAAACAAACTCCATTTCTCTATCCTTGATTCTCCGCGCCCGGTCGTCCTTGTCCAGCCGTGCGAAAAATAGGCCGTCAAATCCCATTTGTGCCAAAATCGAGGCGGTCTCTCGTGCATGACCGAACGGGTCGATTTGCCATCCGATTTTCGGCTTTGCGCAAGATAGACCATCGAACATCTCATCTATAGTTCTTTTTGAAAGTATTTTCTTATAATCCATTCACATACAAAACATATATAAAAAATTAATTCATCAAAAATGAAAATCTATTTATATCTAAAAGGAAAAAAACAGTCTATTTCAGAAATCAAAAAGTGTAAAAAAGAAACTAATATTAAAACAAAAATTCATAAATAAGCAAAATATTGATGATGATTACGAACTAAATATGATAAAAATTTCAGCAAACCACCTTCAAAAAGAAAATTATTTCATCACTGAAATTATTATTATTATTTTTTACCTTAATCCGTAAGTAAATTGGTCTATAATTGAATGGTAATGAGTGACCGCCTCGTCGTGCATGCTCCACGCGCCACTGATCAACTCGAGTTGACCCGTTTCGATTAGTCCACGCATCTTTGCCCTCGTCGCTTCTCCTTGGTTGTCCCACCATTGCTTCAGGAAAGCAGTTTCCACGTAGATAAAACTATTATCAACACGTTTATTTTTAGGAGAGACAAATATTAAATATTAATACCGCCTGTCAGGATTTTTGGCCAGTTCCTCCACGACCGAATCGATTATGTATTGAACTCCAGCAACTTGGATGTCGTTGTCTTTGCCGTAAAAATACTGGTCCACGGTTTTTAACCAACCGACATCGTCGTGCGTGTGAGGAATCAAGTGGACGTTTGTGAAGTTTTCTTTTATTGGATGACAGGCCTGGATATAGAAAATATATTTTGATAATTTGATACTTTTGAGTCTTGAATGGAAGCATATTAGCTTTTTTTTATTTTTAATACTTATTGTTGGTTATTTGATTAATAAGCGGAATGGCTAAATATATTTTAGATTAATTTAAATATATTCAGCATGGTTATATCCCAGGGAGGACTACTTAATAAACAATGGAATCGATTTGTTTATTTTCATAATATAATCCTAATTTTTAAATATTAGTTATTTGAAATCACTAATAATTATAATAAATCCCAAAATTATTTTACTTATTCAAAATTTTAAAGTGGAAAGGAATTTTATAAGTATCTGTTTCTGCTAAAACACACCAGTAATAAAAAATCTGGCACACTATTTTGCCACTGTAATTTTATTAATAATTAGAAAATCTTCAGAAAAAAGAGGTTCATGGAAAATAATATTACCATGCAAACTAATAAATATCATTAATTACCCCACAAATGGCTCTCCCGTCAGGCTCGTTGGTTGGAAAAGCTAATAATGTGCCAATCAAATTTACGCAAATTACAAAACTTGTGTTTTTCCACCGCATTATTTCTCTGACTAAATGCACAGTCAACTAAAACCGACTGACCTTTCAAATCAGAACGCACTATTCATATAAAGCGTGAAATTATTCTTATCATCCTCTTATAAGAAACGAACCCCCCATTTAGAAATCGATTAGCATGTTATTTTTGTGCTCTCTTGGCATATATAATATTAAATCAACACAAGATCGGTTGATAAGATTGCATTTATATTTTAACGCGTATCTTGCTTAAGGACAGATGTCCGCGTTTGAGAGCATAACTTTTGAAACCTGGCGCTTCGATAAAGCCCCATAAGCTTTAACCCTTTTTGCCGTCATGCGCATGTGATCGAATCAAAAAGAGGCTCGCACACAAAATAAACACATCAGCATAATAACATCAGCAATTATTCAGGCGGCTCTCAATTTTCGTCCACATTGAGCTGTGATATACCAGAAATCTTGCCGATAATAAATTTTGAAATGTCGAACAATTTCAAACCGGTGACCCACGTCATTTTCGACATGGATGGATTGCTGTTGGGTGAGATTTTTTGTACATTTTCCTTTTTATGACAAAATTAATTACAAAATTTTGCTTTTAGATACGGAGAGAATTTACACGCAGATCACACAAATGATTTCGGACCGCTTCGGCAAAGCGTACACTTGGGAGCTGAAACAGTCTTTGATGGGCTTCACGGGCAAGGACGCGGCCCAAAAACTGGTCGAAGGGATTGGTTTGCCGATCACACCTGAGGAGTACATCAAGGAATCGCACGTTTTGTACGACCAGTACTTTCCAACGGCAAACCTCCTGCCAGGTAAAAAAAATATAAATTAGATAAAGAAAGAAATTTTTCTAACAAAATAATTATAGCAGTATTAACCGAAATTTAAGGTCATACACCACAATCGTATTTTTTTTTTAATTTCGGAAAACCTGAATTTTCACTTTTAATAATAAAAATGAATTTATCAGCCTTATTTTAATAAATCTAAATGTAAAGTAGAAGGTTGAAATTCTTGAATTAAAATTCATAACTGAATTTACTGAAATTATTATGGAGTCTTTAATCGTTATTATTACTTTCCATATAATGAGACCTTGTAATTTGGAATTAAGCTTATAAATAAGCCAGTTTTATGATATTGAAAATAGACAAAGTTAAAAAAAATCATTTATAAACAGTCAATAATACAATAGAAAATTATCGCTTCAAATCTTTGCTATTTTAACTTTCTTCCTGTCACTGAAGAAAAAATATATTATTTTAGTACAAAATGTGTTCTAATTTTTATCATTTGTCCAGGTGTTGAAAAACTTGTACGGCACCTCAACAAGCACAACATTCCCATCGCCGTTGCCACTAGCAGTGGAAAAGAGCCCATGGCTCTAAAAACTCAAAAGCACACCGAGTTGTTCAAACTCTTCGAACCAATTGTGTGCGCCTCGTCCGACCCCGAAATCACCCACGGCAAGCCAGATCCGAGCATTTTCCTGGTGACCGCTTCTCGATTCAAACCTCCAGTCAAACCAGAACAAGTAAAATTTGAACATTATCAAATTCAAAAAGTTTAATTTTAAATTTGAATCATCATCTCTATAGTGTTTGGTTTTCGAAGATGCGCCCAACGGGGTCAAAGCAGGAGTGGCTGCAGGAATGCAGGTCGTGATGGTGCCTGATCCAAGAGTGTCACCTGAACTCAGAGAAGGGGCAGCTTTGGTGCTTGAAACTTTGGAACAATTCAAACCGGAAGATTTCGGACTTCCACCGTACTCGGACTAATCAAAAAAACAAAACTTGTCATTTTTTGGAAATGAAGATTCGGGCTTTTCCTCGTTGCAAAAAATTGTTTTTTATTCAAAAACAAACGGCTCTACCAGTTTCGGTCACGGTCTGCGACCCTATTTCATGAGCAAGAAAAAATACAAATACATGGTCAGATGCAACGGTTATTAAATTCGAACAAAATCAATCAAAAAGAAAAGTGCTGGAAGCAATGGCAATGGCATGCGGTAATAATGTAATAAGCCAACCGAGCCACCAATTCGATCAAAGGTGGATGTCCTTTTTGAGAGAGGAAGCAAACAGCTTTTTCTCGAAAACGCATAATGTGCCCGACGTCATTCGGCGCCCCCGTGGTCGGCCGCGCCGCGCGCTAATCACCCAATAAAGATCACCTCCCCCAATCAATCTGTCTTTAGCTAGCTCATTCTTGTATTAGTCAGCGAGCAGCGCGTTTGCTCATGAAATAGGTTGGTACTTGAATTTGTTAGTTTTAAGATTTTTATTTTTATGTTAAAATGTGGTTTTAAATTTTGCTGATTTTTTGTATTTTTTCTTGCTCATGAAATAGGGTCGCAGACCGTGACCGAAACTGGTAGAGCCGTTTGTTTTTGAATAAAAAACAATTTTTTGCAACGAGGAAAAGCCCGAATCTTCATTTCCATGATCATCTCCTCGAGTGTCAACTTCTTCAAACAAATTGTCATTTTTTACTTAATTTTGTAATTAAGAAGCTGCAATTTTCTAGAAAGGAATAAAATTTTATTTTATTGAAACAAACTTTTTCTTTTAATGAACGTAAGACAGAAAATTATGAATATTTATGAAGCTTTAACAATGAATTTGCTACCGAAGTGGATTTGTTAACCCTTTTAGTATTTAATGGCATCCTGAATGTCCTGCCTTTTGTGGGTTCCGTCGCAGAAAGGCCTATTTTCTGTCTGTTTGCAATTGCAGAGGTAGTACTCCCCGGACTCGGCGACTGCGAACACCACAGGCTTCAGTTTAACCTTAAAACCGTCTACCTTGTGAGACCCATCACAAAAAGGCTGAAAGAATAAAATTTCGTGATTATCTAGGCCAGATAAATTTATAAGAAAAATATACCTGTGTCTTGCTTCTACCACACGAGCACCAAAGGTATTTTTTGTTTGCTTCTAGAGGAAATTTGAAAGGGCGCTTATCGTAAACTTTGCCTTTTTCCTCCTGGTCTGTGGCAATGTCCTTTTCCCTCAAAATGTTTCGTGGCATCAAATTCTCTTTTTTGTCACTCGAATATAATCTGGCACTCTGAAATTCAAATTTAAATTATTATTTAAATAGTAAAAATTAAATCCAAATTATATAATACAAACTGATCTAAAACTTACTAGTTGGCTGTTTCTGGTAGAAAATCTATTTTGAGTAAAAAATCGTCTGCAGCCGCTCAAAGCTGGTTGGCGGAGAAGGCAAGCCATAGTTAATTTCAAATTAAAGATTATCTAATTATTTCAAGATTGAACTTTAAGCTTTTAAGTAGAATTTTAAACAATAATTAAGAGTCTGCTTGCGGTGCACTTGCTTGCTTAGGCCCGGGAAGCCAGGTTCAGAGCTTCTGAGGTTCAGAGATCGTAACAACAACCGGTTATCGGCCGATCGTCAATTGTTTTTTTTTTAACAAAATTACCGCAGGCCGCAGGCAGTAGAGTCCGCTGTCCGCTGGCTGCAAGGATGAGATCGCTCGATCGCGTATATCATTAATATCATATTATATCATTCAATATATCAATAGATGATTTATTGTCAAATTATTTATTTATCGACCTTTTAAAAGGAGCAATTGCCCCATTTTGGCCTTTTTGCGACTGCATTATTCTTTTCAAGTGCATTATTAATTACGATTAATTATTCTCATAATTTAGTATTTAGTAATTTAAATTTTTCAAAATTCAAACATGAAAAAAAGCCCATTGCAATTGCGGAAAGCATAATGCAATCTTAATCTGAAATCATTTTTTAATCCAATTAATCCTATAGCTCTGCACTCTGCGCGGTCGTTAAATTGCATAGTTGAAACGAAAATCTTTATTCCCAAACTTTTATCAATATAAAGAAGCTAAAAATATTAAAATAATTATTTATTAATGGGTGCCCGGTGCATCGTGGTTGGGGCAACTCGCGATCCGCGATGATAACACGCATAAGTTCAAGAAGCTAAAATTGTAAAAAAAATTCATAAATCTCAACTATATTTATTTTCCAATTTTAACTAATTTCATCAGCTTTTATCAATAATTATTTGTTAAAATTAAAATCATTAAGAGAGAATAAAAATTATATATATTTTATTCTCATATTTATTTCAAATAAATTTTGGAAAATTTAAACACGTTATAATTATTATAAATTCCTTATATTTACACTCACTTTTTTAATTATTAAAATATTTTTGTCACGATCGACCGCGACACAAGACGAGTGGCGAGAATCATACTTGTTTATCAGAGGATGGCCGCGGCCTCACTAAACAGATCGGTCGCTGCTGCCTGCTGGCTGCTTTGGAGATTTTTGTGGGGGTGGAAGAAGAGAAGGAAGCATGTCAGGTATAGGCAATCGTCAATAACAATAGAGAACACAAAAAACAGGTGATCCAAGGAGACTTAAAAATGTTGAAAATCTCACAAAGCGTATATACAAATAGCATGAGAATGCACTCCTAACTTATTCTCCTAAATTATTTATTAATTTTACAAAATATAATTATGTGGGTGCAAAATTTTTGACACGGCCAATATTAGGTTTGTTGAAATCAGCATTAAAATTGTCAAATTTTGATGAAAGTTAATTTGAAATTAAAAACCAGAGGTCAAGAGGGCAGCGGGTGACCTAGGGCACTTAGAGCTTTAACAATACCTTCTTGCTCTGGAGCTTAAAATTTTGAATCAACCATCGTTAGAATTATGCGATTCGGACCAGTGGGAGCAAAGTATTTGCGCTCGGCAGTTTAGTATGAACATCACATTTTTAAGAAGGTTGAATTAAATTTAAATTATTCTATTGATGCCATTGACAAGAACGCTTCATGTGTTTTGAGCCAAGTCTTTAAGCAACTAATCATAATTAATTTGTGTTTTTTACTTGAAATCTATGTGCTGCAGTCAAAGTTGAAGTGGAAAAAACACTGTAATAATTTTGCATAGATGTTTCAGAATCTGAATTCTCACAATAAAAAAACAATAGATGTATTTGAGCTTAGTTGTGAATTTTCTCAATTTTTACTTCATTAGCAGGCGAGATAATTAATAAAAACTCTGCGACCCGCCTCAAAAATTTTTGGACTAAAAAGCCGCGGTCGTCTCACACAAGAGAGACATCGGCGTCATTGCGCTGTTCAAGTTTCTGTAAAAACGAAAAACTCAAAAAATCGTAACTTTGGTCCTAATGATCCGAATAATTAAATTTTTGAAAAATATAAAAGATTTTTCGATCTCAAAAAATTGGTATAAACATTTGATTAAATATAAAAGATAACAAGCAAGCTATTAGGCAAATATCTCTTTTATGAATACACATAGCTTGTAAAATTTAAAAAAAAAATATATATAAATTTGTTCAGAACAGTGGAAAAAATTTTTATACTTTGATCTCATACAATGCACCACAGCCTAATGAAAATGAATGCCTGTAATATTCTTATTTTATTTGGGTTTAATAATCTTATTTTATTTTGACCATGTTCATAAAAATATTCTGCTGATAATTATATAATATTATGTATTTCTAAATTTAAGAAGGTGAAGAAATATGACATATATTTTTAAATGTATTAAATATGGATGCATAAAAATATTAAAAATACTTGTTCCTGAGACGCGGAAAAGATAGTACGCAGTGAACTATAAATTCCAGCTTGAGTGTCATTTGCGTGTGCTTTTGGATTCAAATTATAAAAATACGTCGCGCCACCCCGCTCCACAAACAACCGGTTACCGATATCCCCGCCCCCTGCCGGTATAACCGTTCGAACCTGTGAACCTGGCTTCACGCTCGCGCTTGCTTGTTTTCTCAGCTGCTCGTCCGACTTTGGGCGGCAAACTGGCTGATAGTTTGAAAGTTCTGCACTACGTTCATTGTAAATTTGTAAAACATCTTAATTTTATTGTAGATAGGAAAATTATCATTTAAAGTGACGTTTTTATTAAATAGATTTAAAAAAAAATGGTTTTAAAATAAATGAAACGTAATTTGCTTTATTTTTGCAATATGGTTTCGAAGTTTTATTGAAACTTAATCAAGTATAATAAATATATTTTCATGGGATCAAATGAATTTACAAGTTTTCGGCTGGGATTGTGTCGAATACATGCTTTACAAAGTGAGGAAGCATTTTTACAAACACACTAAAAAACATGGTGTTATAAAATAATAACAGAGACAGTTCTGACAGAAGAGTTGTAAGAAAACACAGAGACGAAAAATGTCACATTCTTTGTATATAAATCACCCGCAAGTCGCGGTGTGAGAAATATTGCTGCGTTGTTTAGAATTTTTGAATGTGAGCCCGCTCCAGTTTTCCACCATTGTGTTTCTTGTATCGACATTTTTACAACAACAAAATCAAATATACACAAATCAAAAGGTCATACATTATTCAGCAAAAGGAGAACTATTAAGAAGAAGGGAAAAAATGCGATTTCCGCACACGGTTGTTCGTTTTGTGAGATGAACACGTAATTACTTATTTAAGAGTTGTAGACACATCGATTTTGGATTTCCTCACTAATTTTAGATAGATTTATTCTTCACACATGAGATGAGTTTGTTTGTATCCTTAGGTTGTACTTCTTAATTGTATTACTTTTTAAATATGGCTTTTCTCTTTAAAATACAAAAATTTGCTCTGTCTCTAACAACACCGATATAGTTACTCTTATATAAAGATTATTGATGATTTCTTGTGTTTTTTAAATTCTCTGGGGATTTTCAGACGCAAATTAAATTCCGCAGTGCTTGGAGAAAATTAACTGAGGTACACTGGCACAACAAAATTAAATTATATTTATATATTCTCGATTCGCTCGCTTTGTCTGTGTGTCTTTGCCTCTCGACAGTCAAAAAAGCTTCAAGTTTAATTATGTCTGAGTATTTGCAAGTGTTCAGAATTCAATGTCAGAGTAATATGATCGCAATAGTCAACTGGAGAACAATAAAACTCAATTGCTTTTCAATTTTAATTAATATAGCACAAACACAACACTTATATTGTAATTTGTAAAAGTGCATAGATTACGTTTTTTTTTCTTGCCAATTCGTTAGGTACGCGCTAATTAGGTAATCAATATGATATAATTCACTCGCCCATGCACTTTATGAGAGGTACTCTTTTCGCTTAAATTTACGCTTTTGGCGCGTCGCATTTTGCCCTCCGACTATGAACATTTCTCTGCAAAATGCGCTTTGCAGCCGAATTTAATTTGTGTTGGTTATGCTACTATTTCTATAATTGGAACATTCAATCTTGATACATCTTTGCCTCTTACTTAATTCTTAAAAGTTTCCTTTGATTAATCCACCAAAAATACTGCCATTCATCATTCTCAACGTTTCGGAAAATAAATTTGCAATAGATATGAAGTGGACTCGCGTTAGAAAATAACTCTCTATCTGATTTTGTTTTTATTCGGCCATCCATTTAGCAGGGATTGTATTCTTACTCGTTTAGTTTTGATCCACTTCTCAACAAGTTTTTTTCTTTTTGGAGTTTCAAAATTTATTGTTTTAGCATCTCATGAAAAACTATTGCGTACGTTTCTATACATCTCAAAAAATGATATAATGGCAAATATTTCTTTACTTTTTCGCTTTCTGATGATAAAAGTTGTGTTTTTAACAATTCGCATTGTTATTATTTCTGCAATGGCTTCTTGTACTTTGTCATGTGCACTTAACTAATTAATAATATATAATATTGAATCTTGTTTTCGTCAATTATATAGGTTTAATAATTACTACTCTCAATCTTCACACAGCATCAATCATCACTTCTTATTATTAAAATTTACAGGAAATCCATCTGAACTGAATAATTTTTATTCGCGCGCGCGTTTTCCTCATACATGTGTGGCAATAATTTTGCAATTCACCTCTATTAACGTATTCAACATGTATGAGAGAAAACGAATTTTTATACAATTAAAATTGTTTCGCGTTAATTCTAATTAGATTAATTTGTTGTACCATTTATGAAAGAATTCGTCTTTTCTCCTAAAGAAGCAGATCTTTCTCACAAATGTGTAATATTGTGTGTTTGTGTTTGCGTGTATTCTTAATTTATACATATTACTTTCAATTTCCTTAACGTCGAGGATAAAATGATAGACATAGAGACTGGGGACTTTTTTGTTATAAAAAATAACTTTTGCGAAAATAACTCACATATCCGGATGCGGGCATTTCAATGTTTCAAACACTTGTTTTTGTTTTTTTAGAAAAGGAAAAATTACAAAAATTATTCAACGAGTGTCAAAACTTTTGCATGGTTCTTAAAACTATGGATAGTAAATTTCCCTAATCACGATTATACTCAATAATATTGATTTTTTGTGTATTTAACTAAGAATTATATAAAAAGAGGCGATACAATAATAAAGCTTAGATGTTTTGGTAAAAATATAAAATAAATAGTTAAAATATAATGAGGGAAGCATTCGCACGATACTGAAAATTAAAATGTAACCACGATACTATTCATTCTTGTTGCAAAACCTAATTCTCTCCCTCACTGATTGTTAAAAAAGAGAAGAAAAAAATCAATTAAAAGAAGGAAAGAGCAACTAATTTAAGAGTTAAAACCACTAACAACGAATACTGCTGTGCAACAGCTCGTCCGTCATTGACAACATGATGCGTGTGTTTATGTACTAAATATCAGGTATTGCCAATCCATTTTAATTAAGTCAACTGCGAATTAATCATTCAGCAGAGCTCGTCGCAAGGAGAATCGAAATTTTCGCGCCTACATTGATTGATTGGTCAAAGGGAGTGTTTGAAAATGACGATTCCTCATCGCACATTAGGCTCTGCTCGACTGAGGAACCTGTTGGTCTGTACAATTAAAAATTGTGCACCGTGGCTTCGAACAGGGCGTGGAAAAAAAATCACACTCTCTTTTTCAGCAAAGAAATTTCCACTCCACAAGAGCATTTTTGTCCCCAATAATATTTACGAAATACACAATCTTTTCCAAACCCTGCCTTTGAAAACAAAAGCGCCACTTTGCTGCATTGATATAACAATATAATCGTGAATCTTCTCGTCGGATAAAGCATAAGAGATCAAAATTGTTGGTAAAATATGGTAATATATAATATAATATAGTAAATATATAACGATAAAATTAAAATCGTAAAGCCTACGAATGGATCAAGAGTGTTGCTGATTGACGTAAAATGTTTTTGCATATGTACAAGAGACATCCAAGAAAGTCGTGTCCTTTAAGTACACACAAAATTTGGGGCTCGTCCCAAACTTTTGGTGCTAAATCACTTTGCACACCGTTCTCATCCATATTTTAAATTTGCCTCCCTTGCAATCCGATTTTTGTTGTGTCTCTCTCTCGTTGTACTTTCCGTGATGATAACCAGCACCCTTCCAGAGTTCATTGTTTTTTAAAAGTCTTTTGCGTGGTTGGCAGGTATTTGGTTAGCACAGTGTCAGTACGTGCAGCGTCCTAGTGCGATCGCGGGCCGGTGAGGCGGAGGCGCACACGATCCTCAAGTGTTTAGTCTTTGGCAAATTCCTATATAACCTTAGGCCTTGGGGTGAACAAAAGAGTTTTCTATCTTTGGCCCGTCCTTTTCGTCCTCCTCGCGCATTATACCAAAGCTCGATACGTTTAGTCAGCCAGCAATTTCACTTTGTCCTGGCGCAGGCCGGCCAGCTAGTCGCCGAAACGGGTGCACGCCTTTTTCCATTTGCACTGGGTGCACCACTGCTCTCGGTGCTCCATGCCGTACACCTTGCGGCACTTTTTCGACTCGCCGCGCACCCGACGCCCACTCGGACTCAGTTTCGGTGAGCTCACGGTCTTCGGACTCAGTTTCGGGTACTTCTGCGGCGAAACCTGTAATTAAAAATACAAAAAAATTTTAGAATGACAAGCAGTGCTCATTTTTTTTCTCTGATAAGATTCTCCTTTTTATTCATTTTTTTTCTTATTAAATAAAGAATCCAAACTCACAGGCAAATAGCTCCCAGGCGTCCAGCTGAAGGAGGCCATGGGGATGGTGAGTGGAGATCCCCTCTGAGAAAGCACGCTCGGCGACTTGTAGCTGCCGGTGGTGGTGTTTTGGAGCTTTTCTTGCTGCAACTGGCGCTGGTACTCTGGATCTGTTCAAGAGCACAAAACAAACAGAAAATAATTTCGGCTCCCTAGGTCGGGTGTTTGCTTCCAACTAACCCTCGTGCGGCGGCCGGGCCATGTCCTGGTGGCTCAGGGTGGGCGACGACGCGGCCACGTGTCCCGCCTCCACCTCAAGCTCGGTGTAGTAAAACTCTTCTTCGTGGTCGCTGCTGCCTCCGTCGTCGTCTCCCTCAGGAGTGCGGGGTCTATTTATAACAAAAAAAAATTAAGAAATTATTCAAAACTCTCATATTTTGAAATTAAAAAAATTGCCAAAAAGTTTGAAATTCAAATAAAATTAAATAAGGTTTTGCACAAACTCAAATAATCTCATTTATTTACAAAATTTATTTTTAAACTTTGCTTTCATCTTTTGCTAATATTTTGTACATATTTATTTAATTCATCAATTTAAATTGTAGACTTAAATTCAAATATACTTAATTTAAATATTATTTAACTACTATTTTTTCAAAATTTTTTTCAAATGACTTTTTGAAGAATTGAGAAATTTATAAAATAAACTTACCCAAGATGCATTTTTCTGACGTGGCGCTCGATGGCTTCGCAAGTGGTGGTTCGCACGCCACATCCCTTCCAGGTGCATTGGAACACTGTGCACATGACCTGAAACACGAAGACAAGACTTTTTACTAAAACTCGCGTGCATTATTATTTATTTTATAAAAGCAGCTATAGTGCCTTTAATTTTCGGGGGAAGTTAAAATTAAATGTCTGTCGTGTCGCGCTGCACCCCAAACTGTACAACAACAGGAAACAGCGCGGCGGGCTGTGTATTTTTAAAAAGTATTATTAATTCCGCCGAAAGGAAAGAAATGCATGCGTTCCCAAGTCGGCGGGGTTTCTTATTCACGCACAAAATATACGGAAAAAAAATTCCTGCGTGCACTCTGTTGAATGAACCCTTATCAGAGCGAGGGGAAGGAAGAGGTTGTTCCCCTCGACGAATGCATTATTCCATTGTTTCTCGCCGCGGCAGCATGTCACTTTCATACATATATAGGTGGAACAATGAACCTCCAAACCTAGCTCCAAGACATAGTTATCGCATCAGCTATTCTTCTTCTTCTTCCACACATTCGACGACGCACGCACTTATTGTGATTAATTTCGTCTTCTCGTGCGTGTGAATTTGATTTTTATAAAGTGACAGCACACCCTGCGCTCTGCTTTTCAGAGAGTGAAATATTTAAATATTCCGAGATATATATTTCGGAGGGAGATGCGCCTGACAAAACTCGAAATATTGAGCTCTCCCCGTTTCGTGTTAAATTTGCACGCTTCTCTTACTTTTGCTGAACCAATTGTTAAAAAAAAACGTAAAAATTTAATTTTATTTATTTACACGAGGCCTTAAAAATGTAATAAACAATGGGAATACAAATTTAATTATAAATTAATTCAAAATATTTGGAAAATTGAAAACTGTGAGCATCCATTCAAATATGAATAAGTCCTGAATAAACATTATTCAAAATTTCTCATTTTTCCGCTCCCTCTGCCATTGGTGTGGGCTCGGAGGATATTTGAGCAGTAAAATGGGATTTGCTCATTGCGAAGTCATGAGCATGATTCGCTTACGTCCCCGCGCAATGTATTAAATTCATTTATGCACGCCAAGTCTAAGCACGGGGTGTGATCGACCGTGTATTCAGTTTCACGCATATAATAACCGGCGAAAAACGTAGGGTTTCCTTTCTCGAATTACTAAAATTGCTGGCGGAGTCTCGAATTAAACTGACACCTCATTTATATCCCTCTCTTTAAACATTCCGCACAAATGCGGCTCTACTGTCACCAGCAGTTGACATAACAAGAAAAAAAAGGAACCAAACTCGCCTCCCGCACAAATGCATTTCGTTGGAGATGTTTGGAGATTATGTGAGATAGACACGTGCAGTTCATTAAAATTCAAACGCCTTTCACACTCGGCGGAGGAAGAGGAGGGACTCTTGTCATATAAATTTCGGGTGCAACGGACTGCACTTTGAAGTGGCGGGCGTGTTTGCTCATATTTCGGTGCAATGCATTTCCATTCGACCGCGCTTTTTCGTCTTGTTGCGATGCGGCGGAGTTGCAGGGGTGCGGCGGCGGCGGCACCCACGTGCTCTTGTTGACATTTTCCTTTTGCACTTGCACTTGAAAGGTGCGGCGGTCTCTCTCTGTTGCCATCCAGCAATTGCGAATCGGGAAAGCGGAAACAGGTTGCTAAGCCAATAAATTAACTCCTCTCGCCTGCTGACGGTGGCAAACTTTTGTGTCAGCTGCCGAGATTGAAATGCTATGTCGCTCGGAAAACGAAGTTAACTAGTAAATGGGGAATTGCATCTAGTAGGGCTTTTTGACAAAGTGCAAGGCAGGGAGCGCGCAATTGGGGAGCTGCAAGTGACGATATAATGCATATGCATGACTCGAGATTTTTTTCCCGATGATCTTTTTTACTTCCATCATAAATCTCATCCGCCGTTGGCAGGGGACGTCCAAAGAGCGCTTCTCGATTTTAATATGTGCATAAAAATAGATTTATTTTGTGTGTATTTTGGACGGACAGGACAATTTATGTGTTCACAGTTCACTGCACTTTGCCATAATAGCTTCTGCATGTACATGTTTGCTGATTTTGCATACTTTTTGAAACGAAAGTGAATACTCTGTGAAGGAAAATCAGTTCAGTTTATTTAAATAGATATTTTTTTGACACAACCAAGAGTAATAAAATAAGATGCAAAATATTGAAATATTGATTTTTAAGAGGTTTTTACGTTGTTTTATTAAAAATTTGCGAGAAAAACTTGACTTTAAAGAATGGAATACAAACGAAAATTTGTAAGTTTTCATTGAGAAATTAATTTTTAATTGACTCATAAATTAATCTTTTTCTGTCACACAGAAAAAAAAAATAAAAAACTCAATTAAACCCGGAAAATTAGGGCAAACAGAGCAACATAACTAAATTAGATTTTTGCTTCATTAAAAAATTAATTCATAAATTAAGAGTAAAAAATTTTGATTTGTATTCCATTCTTTAAAGTCAAGTTTTTTTCGCACGGTTTCTGTAAAACCACGTTAAAACGTCTTAGAAATTAAAGATAAAACCAATTATTATTTTAGTATTTTCTAAAGTATTTTTAACTTTGTCTAATTAGCTTTTTTTTAAATTACTTAAAGAAGAAAAACTGCAAACTTAAGGGTTCAAGCCGAAGCCCATTTTGAAGATTGGAACACCCTGTAGCATCATCTCCGCTGGCAAATTTATACACACTTGGCTGTCATAAACACGCACTCAGCGAAATTAAGATTTAAGCCGGTGTCTTTCCTGCTTTCATGATTAGTCAAATGGAAACTAATAATTGTATTAAGAAAAGAGAACGAGCCCCCCGCTGCAAATTTAATTAAATTTGAACAAGCCGAAAGTATTAATTTATTACGGGTGGTAAGCGGCTTAGCGGGCTGTGTATTAATAATTATTATTCGCCTCTAGCTCTGCAGGCGCCACCGGCCGGGCGTGCATGTAGTGCGCGGTAGTATAAAATCCACACCGAGGACTCTTTTTCATTGATCACGCGAGAGAGCGATGCTGCTATGGGTGCACAATTTTGGCGATTCGCAAGCGGGGCGTGCGCGTCCCTGCCCCCCACCCCCGCGGGTCCGAAAGGGAGGAGGACACCCGCGATCAATACGCCGACACGTGTGGCCCCCGTTTATTTTCCCCCGCTGGCTGCACACTTGCTGCTGCTGCTGCTGCCTGGTAACAAACTGCGCCGCGGCTTTTCGCTCCCAACTCTCGAGCCACGTGCCGCCCGGAATAAAATGCATTTATCTGAATAGTGTATGGTCGGCGCCCTGATTGGTCCCCACTTCTTGCGCTCGCAATTTCCTTCACATGCACCTCTCGGTTTCGGAAACACGCACCTTGGCAACAAAGCCAAATTGGTGCACCCCGGCAAAAGTTGCGACCGAGACACTGTTTGCGCTGAGCCCGGGCTTATCTGTCGGCGATTTGTCAGGACATCATTCGCCACTTGAGAGCAGCAAAGTTGCTTTGCCCCCGACTGGAATACAGATGATGATTTAATGCCATAAGAAGGAGCAGCCCAATTTTTTGGAATGGTTCCATCAACATTTAGATCTCAAATGCCCTCCTAAAAGCAACCCTTTTGGGGTCGCTCTCGTAAAGATTTCGGTTGGCTTAGCAAAAAAAAACTGGCACAGCTCTAAAAATTCCAGTTTATGCATTTTTTTCTTTTAAATTATATCAATTTTTTTATCTTTTTTAAACGCATCGAAAAGAAAATGTCAATTGAGTGAAATTCACAACCCCCTTGTTATCAACAAAGCGAGGGGCTGATTTACGACCTTTCCGCCAAATCTAGCGCCGAAACAAAATGTCGTTGGGGCAAATGAGAAATTGAAACCGAGATGACAAGCCATAAAGGCGGATTCCTTATGCAACCCTAATGGCGTTTACGCGCTGCGGGTTGCCTATCCATAAAAATCCGCCACCACCAGCACTTTCATTCTTTCTTTGCCTATTGTGCAGTGTCGTCGTCGGCCGGGTGCTTCAAAAGCACACAGACTACTGTGTATGAATGTGTGTTGCAATGGATGGAGCTCTCTTTTGGAGGTGGTAGTTATTTTTAAGTAACGGCCATCGAGGAGTGCAGCTAAATTATATTACACAAAGGACGATGGGCGAGATTACCGCTTTTATTGCCAGTAAACTTTATTTATACCCAAGGCTGCTCGCTGGAAACAAGCTGAGAAACTGAAAATTTACGACTGCCGCGACGGGATTTTGAGAAATAACTCCCGGTTTATTGTTGGCCGAGAGAGATAATTTGTTGCTTGTAATAATATTAATTTTTACTTTTACTGGCGCGCTCCGGGAATCAGCTGACTGAGAGTTGTTTGTGAGATTCATAAAATAAATAAATAAAAATCAGTCGTTTATCCTCAGCGGTGTCAAATTTGAGGGATTAGCGAGGAGCGATCAATCAACTCGTCGGGGGAGAGAGAGAGAGAGCTGTGCACTTCTTATGAAGTATTTAAATTGGAAAACAGAGGCTATAGCGCGAGAGGTGTTTATTATTATGTAAGCAGAGTGCGAGCAGCGTGACTGCCCATCACAATGACGGCTTACACCGCTCTCCAATATTAATAGACAGACTAATCCCCGCCCGGTATTGCTTTAACGCTCATCTCTGGTGCTGCCCACTCGAGGGCATTTTCACATTATTTTATTCTGCAGGCCAGCCGGCTTCTCCGCCGAGCTGACAACAACAACACTGCCATGCTCGCTCCATCTCCGACTGCTGGTGACTGCCGCGGCCGAAGGGGGCCACAACCGACAGAGTTTTGGTGCGAGTACTATTGCACAGGGAGAGGGAATCACTATGGAGCCATCCATCCAGCAACGCCGATAGAAGGACGGCGAAGAAGAGGGAGGGCGGCACTGCATTAAGAGGTCGCCGACCCCGCCGCCACTACAAATATAAAACGGGAGAAAAAAGCGCCAAGTGAAAAAATTAAACACAGCCGGACGGTTAATTTGCTTGAATTACAATTGCAGATGGGATCGCGGCGCGCAGTTATAATCATGGTTGGGC